TGTAAGGCGAGTATACATATACGTACCGTTGCGGTAGCACCAGGATTTTATGCTTTACGTACTTTGAATACCGAACATAGCCCGTATGCATCGTTTTTGCACTTTGAATACCATGTCTCTGCCAGTGGAATTGCCCCAAACATAATGCCATACCTGAGGACAGATTCAACAAGCTCAGTAGTATGCACACAGTAGTGCACTATGGTAGATGGTTGGAGCAAGTTTGTATAAGGCTTATGAGAGACTACTGATCTTTATACATAGTAAGTTTACATCAAAACCTACCTACTTCGCAATTCGGGTAATGATAGGAACGATACGTCGGGTCAGGTTAGGAATAGGGTTACGTTCGGAATAAATATCAATTATTTTTTCACATTCCTAACCTAACCCACCACCGGGTCAGGTTTGCGGGTCAGGTTCCGAATAATCGCTTTTTATTGCAAGTCTGATGAATACTAATAATTCTAAAGTTAATAGTATTTTAAGTTCTGAATAATGAAAACACATAGCTAAGTAAGTAGGTAGGAATAAGTGCTCAGCTGTTTGCGGGCATGATTTTAAACTGTCAAACACCAAGCGGTCACCGGTGACCGCAACCTATTGTTCTATAATTGTGTCGGTAAAACCGGTACTCGACGAGTTAAGTTAAAACCATTGTAAGTAAGTTCAGTTCAAAATTTCATTCGTGTATTTTTGATCGATTGATTTAAATTGTTCTTTCCTAAACATGAATTCATATTCCGCGTACCTATCTGCAGTAGTCATCAGCTGATTGGCTGATCAGCTGATTCGTAATTCGAAATACTAAATGCTGAATAGGTACAAACAATTTAAAACTGTGTCCTTAGAGACGGAATGTACCTACAAGTAAATAAATTACACATCTACCTGTGTCACTCGGAGATTTCGTTCGAAGTTTTCGTCTTCGCAATCTACCTATGCACAGCAACACAGTTATGCACCACGTCACTGATTGGATTATGCAACACCACGGCACTTGTTTTTAATGTGTTTCAAGCACTGATTACTTCCAGTCTCTGGGTAACAGCCAGCAGGCATGAATTTCATGTCATGCCTACAGTGTTGGGAGTTTAGGTACGATGCAAAAATAGCTCGATAGACTGCAACTATCTCGACAATTTTTGTGTTATCATTAACACATAAACACTGAACTACGAACTTTGATAATAATTAGTGACACGAAGTTCAAGGCCATGCGAAATAATTTCACAAACGACCTCCCCCGGCAGTGCCAAAGCACAAACTGAATGCGTGTGCGTGTGCGCCGTAGGGGTAGAGTACTGGGGAGTGGAGCCGAGGGAACGTTTGCGTTTCTTATTGGATTTTTTTGGAATGGTGGAATGCTGCGTTGGGTATCTATGGTGCTCTCAGTCTTTGTCGTGCCGTAATCACGCAAACGCTCCACCATGTGTAACATGTATTGTAGAGACGTTTGCGTAGCCTTCTAGGACTTTCGACGTGATGGTCTGAGCTGCCAAGACCTGTGCGCTTCAAGTGTAGGACATCGTCTTTTTTTTTATGCGGCTGGAGGGGATATCTTCATGGAGACTCACACCTCCCCACGAATAGGGAGCTGTGTGAGTGCTGCCGGACTCTTACCGGCTAAAACCCCTCCTGCTGTGCCGAGTTGCTCCTCTGACGTGATCAGAGACCTTCTTTAACAGTTTCTTCATACCATTTACAATTTTGGGAAAACATTTTATTAAACTGTCAAACATCAAGCGGTCACCGGTGACCGCAACCTATTGTTCTATAATTGTGTCTACAAAACCGGTACTCGACGAGTTAATTATATACATGAATAATAAATACTTTTTATAAATATACATATTTTTATTATATATAAATAACTAGCGACCCGCCCCGGCTTCGCACGGGTGCAATATGCATGTATTATACATACAAACCTTCCTTAAGAATCACTCTATCTATTAAAAAAAACCGCATCAAAATCCGTTGCGTAGTTTTAAAGATCTAAGCATACATACGGACATACAGCGAAAGCGACTTTGTTTTATACTATGTATTGATTATACTAAATACAGATATAAGTTGACGCTACTGTCTATATATTATGTCAATATGCGTACTTAGCGCCAATTACATTTGTCCTTCACTAGTTTCGGCACGTTGAGGTTTGGTGTTCTCCGTCATCCTCGTGCCGTTCTCACGAAAACGCTCCACCATGTGTAACATGACTATTAGAGACGTTTGCGTGGGATTCCAGGTCTTTCGACGTGATGGTCTGAACTGTCAACACCTGTGCTCGCCAAGAGAAGACCATCGTCATTGTTCCCGGTCCTGTGTGATTCTGACCACATCTTTTTGTTGCTGGGATTTGCGGCTGCCCTAAGCAGTTCTCTGCAGCATCTGCGGCACTCGACCCTATTGGAGGTGACAGCGTCCGGAGTGGACACTGATCGGCGTCCGGACCACCGCAGCCAGGCACTTGCCATATATTTAAGTTTGCGCAGCTTCACATGAAGCTGAGCACTACTTATCTTGTACCTCGTCTGAAGGGCGCAGTGATCCGAACAGCTGTCTTTTTCTTACGCGTTAGTGCCTCCCTCTAGTATTTCTTTGTTTTTGTTAGGCCCCCACCAACGTGCCCTAATCTTGTAGGGGAATCTTTTCATATGTGTGTCGATGCCTGGATCCAGTTTGACTGCCTGTGGGACGCCAAATACCACCTTAGCAATAACTAACAGCTGCTCGGGCCAAGGCGTCCCACTTCCTAAGGACAGGACAACCTTGGGCGAAAATAGAGTGGTTTGTGTCGGAGTTTCCATCTCTGCCACAGTTGATGCATGTGGGCCTCCCTCCCTCAGCAGACCTAGGGCAATCCGGCTGGAGGTAGGGCCCCCCGAAGTGGTTGCACAGGGCCACCTTTTCTGTACAACTCTTTCGCCCATGCCCGTAGGCCAGACACCGACTGCACTGGACCAGCGGAGACTGGTCAAACACTTTAGCGTGCTGCAGATCGATGTATAATCTGCTAGCCGAGGTCAGCCTCTCCCACAGCCGTGGCGAGACCTGGAGGACGACGTGGTTTTCGAGTCAGCTCAGCACCACCCTCTGGTCCTTGACTTTTCGGACTTTTTCCACCTGAAGGCCGCTCACCTTCGCGTTCAGCGCCTGCCGGACCCGACCCACAACATCGCCGCTGGTCTCCATTGCGTCGCCGGAGGACACAACGATAGAGTGCTTTGGTCTTGCAACCCGCCCTGCACTCTTTGGTTTTGACAGGACCTCCGCATAGGAGGGCGCTTCTGCCCTCATCTCGGAGACCTGTCTTCCGATCTCCTGGGTTGCAGACTTGAGCTCTTGCATATATGCAAGAAGCTCCATGCCCTGACCGATGTAGCCTTCGGCGACAGAAGGCGCATCAACACTTCACCGATCAATAAAAGCTGCCTTTAAGTCCCCCATCTGCACGGTGGCCGCTACAAGCAGCTTGCTGTGCTCTGCCATTTTTGATATGAGGTCGTCCTCCTTCTTGCTGCTGTTTTCTGGTGCAGGAGCCATTGTCATCAAGTCCGAACCCGCAACCCCTCCGACCCCGGGGAGCCTCTGGTGTTCAGACTCCTTCACCAGCTGGTAGAGGCGCTCGATGGCCGCCGTCACCTGGGTCTTGATGTCGGTCTTGAGATTTCTCGCAAGACCCAGTTGACACTTCGCCTGTTTCAGCCAGTATCGTGCCTCCACCGTCCGATTCTCGAAAATTCGAGCTGGCTGAGGGGACTTCGGAGAGAGTGCGAGCTCAGAGGGATCACGCTCCCGCCGTTCGTTTTGGCTGTGCCGGACACTATTTACCGGGGCCGCAGTGCGCTGCTTCTTCGGCTGCCTTTCGGTGTCCGGGAACAGCCTCCGGACCGCACTAGGAGGGGCCGGCGACTCGGGGTAGTGTCGTACATCGTGGCGATGGGCGTGACCAAGGTAAGGGGAGCACCCGGCTCTTTAAAATATGTAGTGTATCCCTGTAAAGAGGGGATACAGTGTGAAGATTAAAATCTAATTTTTTTTTTTTTTTATTTTTTTTTTTATTATACAGCAGGAGGGGAAATCCTCATGGAGACTCACACCTCCCCACGAATAGGGAGGTGTGAGTACTGCCGGACTCTTACCGGCTAAAACCCCTCCTGCTGTGCCAAAGTGCTCCCCTGACATGATCAGGGCCCTTAATTCAACAAAAAGATTATTAGCACTAATTGGGAACCATTTTTGAGATATATATATAAATAAATACTTTTAAATAAATTATAATACATACATGATTTAGTATAAATATACAATACATACTATATTTGACGCTATTGTCTAAATATTCCTGAAATACTAGTACCTAGCGCCACAATCTGC